TCCAGTCACATATTATCGATATAATATGCACCTACGTACAGATTAAGATATCACAATACCTATAGTCTATGAGACGCAACTATCTCATCTCGTACGTACTAGTCTTGATACGTTATGACGTCCGTATTATCATAAAGTGCGACTAGGGATATTCTAGACATAGCCTTCGTCAAGAAGTAACAGTCTCATAATCAGAAAGTCGTAGTCCTCATCTATGTTACTAAAGAGCTATCGTCTATGGACTGAAGCTATGTTATGTTACACGAGATATAAAACATACTTCAAGGCCTTTCATTCATGATAAAGTGTACAGTTACATAGGTATTTGATTGCCGCTAGGGCACCTAAATACAACAGGGTATTCCCTCCCATCGCTAGGTTCCCATCGATGGGTAGAAGTTCCCATCGCTGGGTAAAGGCATTATGCCTTTTGTTAATGTTGGACCAAGGCTTGAACAGCGATGGGTGGAACTTCCCATCGTTGTTTGGCATGGTTCTGGAGTCCAGCTGAGCTAAAGGCTGCTTACCTGTCGATGGGTAATATCTCCCATGGCTGGGTGATATTTACCATCGCTAGGTACATGGCTAGTCTAGAACCATGGCCTAGCTGACTCGCGCTGAACCCGACCGAAAAATGCAAAGTTCTCCAAAGTAAAAAATAAGTATTTAAAACACTTAGTTAATGTATTTTGATTTCAAAACATGCTTTTTAAGTTGAAAACCACGTCGTTACGGTAAAAACCACGGTAGACCAAGTCAACATTGTACACGGGTGGTTTTTACCAAAAGACAAAAACGAAAGAGGGTTTTCATGATGTTTTGATTGGAGAACCATTTAAATGCATTCAAAAACAATTCCCACACAAAAAGACTCGAAAACCACTGCATTTAAGTAAAAACCACGGCTAGCCAAGTTTATGCCGTTTCGCATGGTTTTTATCAAACGATAAAAAACGAAAGGTGGTTTTGAAGTGTTTTTGATGAAAAACTATTTAAATGTGCCCAGATGTAAAAACCAATCATAAAAAGATGAAAACCACTTGGTTGGTTCAGACGCCAAAAACCAATGCCAAAAACCGAATGCTGAACGCCGGTTTTCGAAAGCCGAACCCCGGATGGCTTGGTTTTTTATTTGGGCGAACACCAAGTGTTTTTATCATGTTTGAAAATAATTTTGATGATATGTAAAATGCAATAAAAAAATGTTTTAGCCTAAAGAGCCAAAGTGCAAAGCTTGGGTCGGTCTTGATCACATTGTGACCGACTCAATGACGCTAAAGACTACGGTCTTCGTTCTTGGTCTCTTTTAGCTCTTGTTCTCTTTCTTTCTTCTTATATTTATTTCTCGCCTTGTATATTCAACAACTTGTCTCGTTCACGGCAGTTTGGCATTATCAAAACCTGTCATAAAAACGAACACGGCTTTAGTACGAAAATGTGATAAACCCGTGTTTCAACACGGACGCCTCGTCTACCGCCCACGATCACCTCCTCAAGTACCCATTCTTGGTGATGGACATCCTTGAACGGTTCAAGGTTACCACCACCATTGGCCCACTCACCAAGGCCACGAAGCTTTGGACGATTAGTGCCCAAACCTTCACGAAGCGGTCGGACAACGCCGCACCTGCCACTGCCGCACCATGCCGCACTGCCGATGGCCCAGTCGAACCCCAGGCCCGGGCCAACCTTGCCTCCATCGCCGACTCCCTCAACTGGCTGAACTTCAAAGTCGATGGGGTGGGCGGGTACCTTGAATGGCTCGACGAGGCTGTTCAAAGCCAAGGGTATGCCATGAATGCGTACTTCCAACGCGTCAACTACGTCCCCCCCACCGTACCAAGGCATGTTCCTTGGGCAAGTGTACAGTGAAGAAGGCGAAGACGATGGCTCGTACGCCCCGTCAAGCTCCCCGGACGAGGATGAGTTCGACGATGCCATTGATGTTGATGAGATGGACGTCGATGACGATGAGGAGGAAACTGAAGATGAAGACTAGGCCGCCCCTAGATAAGGGGGAAGAAAAGGGCTATGCATATATTAGGGGGAACGTCTCTAAAAACGGGATCATTTGATTTCAAAACGACTATTTGCTCTTAAACACAAATTAAGGGGGAACTTTTTCACACCTTTTGAAAATAAAATATCCCTTAGTATGCATATCCCCGTCTTGTTTGCCATTATCAAAAAGGGGAAAATTGTTGGAACACGGGTTTACGCCTACGTTGTACTAAACCGTGTTCGTTTTTTGACAGGTTTTGATAATGCCAAACCGCCATGATAACAATATTAAACTGAGCAAATCAAAGGCGAAGGAACATGGCATGATGAATTAAGAACCGAGAACCAAGAACGAAGACTTAGAAATAAATTGAGTTGGTCTTAATGTGATCAAGATCGGCACAAACTTCTAAAACTTGGCTCTCTAGGCTCATCTCATAAAAATATTCTTTTGCATATTCAAAAATGTTTTTCATAAGTTTTAGACAAGCCTTAAACACTTGGTGTTCGCCCAAACCAAAAACCAAGCCATCCGGCGTTCGGCTTTCACAAACCGGCATACAGTTTTCAGAAACTGGCGTTTGGCATTCGGTTATCGGCGTTGTATTTTGGCATCCAAACCAACCAAGTGGTTTTCAAAATTTTATGATTGGTTTCTACTTCTGGGCATATCCAATTTCAATCAAATCCCACAAATTGTGCCAATCACCCCCATTCAACTCCTACCCGTTGGAGCCTGTTTTTCTATTATAAAATGGGGTGTTTGGGTCTGCTTTACACATCACATTACTTTACAACTCTTATTTTACATTGCATTACATTCAGACATTATTCATAGCTTTTCGAGACCCATTTTCATGAAGTTCGTGTTGTGTTCTTGAGCGTTTTTAGTTACTCATTATCCACTCTAAAAGAGAGTATTGTTCTTGAGTGATTTAGTGTTTTTAGACACTTGATAAGAGAAAGTTTTTCTCTTGAGTAGTTCGAAGGAAGGGTTGTTTCCTTCGAAGGGTTGTTGAGGTTCGTGTGACTCGAACTCTCAAGTTGTACGGGTTTGTTAAGCTTAACGTTGATAGTGTAGCTCGAGAGAGTCTCTCAGGAGGCTGGACTAGCCACACGTTGTGGTAAACCAGGGTAAAAATGGTGTGCCTCTTCCTTGCTCTTTACTTTACGCTTTTGATTTTTTATTCCTGTGTCATTTTCATTTCAAACGCTATTCACCCCCCCCCCTCTAGCGTTGGGACGTTTTTCTAACAAAAAGTGCCTTCCTTAATGGTTTCATTCAAGAGGAAGTGTATGTCGAACAACTCCCAAGTTTCGAAGACTATGAGTTTCCCAAATATGTCTTCAAACTCAAAAAGGCGCTTTACGGTCTCAAACAAGCACCTCTTGCTTGGTATGAACGGTTAAGCAAATTTCTTTTGGACCATGAGTTCAAACGGGATCAAGTTGACACTACTCTTTTCATCAAGAATGATAACCAAGACATCGTTTTGGTTCAAGTTTACATAGATGATATCATATTTGGTGCTACTAACGAGGCTTTATACAGGGATTCTTCCGATATGATACAAAGTGAATTTGAGATGTCGATGATGGGAGAATTGAAATTCTTCCTTGTGCTGCAAATTAAACAATGCAAAGAAGGAACATTCGTGTCTCAAATGAAATATTGCAGGGAATTGGTTAAGAGATTCGACGATACCGAATCCAAATCCATTGACACACCAATGAGCACCTCTTGCTATCTCATCAAGGACGACAAAGGTAAAGAGATAGAGATCAAGCGCTACCGAGGTGTGATCGGCTCTTTACTTTACCTTACCTCGAGTAACCGGATATCATGTACTCCGTATGTATGTGTGCTAGGTATCAATCTTGCCCTAAAGAGTCGCACTTGGCTGCAATCAAATGGATAATCTGATACCTTGCAGGCACGTTGAACGTAGGTCTTTGGTATATCAAAGGTTCGACATGTCATTTGTTGGCTATTCCAACTCGGATTTTGCAGGTTGCAAACTCGATAGGAAGAGTACCAACGGTACTTGCCATTCGATCATTCGTTAATCTCGTGGTTTAGCAAGAAGGTGGTTAGTGTTGCACTTTCCACCACAAAAGTGGAATATGTCGCTGCGTGAAGTTGTTGTGCCCAAATTCTTTGGTTAAAATAGCAACTAGTGGATTTCGGCCTTATACTTGATCACATCCCAATTAGATGTGACAATATGAGTGTCATTAGTCTAACGAAGAACCTTGTTCTTCATTCGTGGACTAAACACATAGAGATTAGGCATCACTTCATACGAGATCACGTCCAAAAGGGAGATGTCACAATTTAGTTTGTTGAAACAAAACATCAATTGGGTGACATTTTCACCAAACCCCTTAGTAGGGAGAGTTTCTTCCACATTCGGAACCAACTTGGCATTTTGGATATCTCTTTGAACTAATTCATTCTTTTATTGACATACTAACTTGAGCGTTGGAGGCGCAATAAATCTTTTTTGTAGGGTATTTTTAAATGTTTCACGGCATTTTTAAGAAGATTTTTTGAAATTGGAACAGAGGGGATCAATCCCCAAGTGTCGATCGATCTCCCAAGCCAAAGAAACTAATTCTAGATTCAAATGATTCTTCAGCGGATCGATCCAGGCCCATGGACCAATCCACTAGGGAGTGTATTTTCACATATGGATTACGGCGTATCAATCCCGGGTAATGGATCGATCACCTGGGTTAAGTTTTGTTTCTCCAGGTTCAGGATTCCTTCGGTGGATCGATCCACGCACACGGATCGATCCATGGACTTAATTTTGGAATAGAGCATCCATTCGGCAGGTCAATCCAGACATATGGATCGATCACCTGGACTTTTACACGACAGGTAAGTTTCTACTTAGGATTGATCCTTGCCGTTGGATCGACCCTCACGACTTTAGGTATATATACGAACCCTTCTTTGATTTCTCTTTAATTTTCATCTGCTCCTCCTCTTTCCTCATTGGCGAACTCATCTCTTTGAAAACCAGGTATCTTTTTTGGTTCTCTTCATCAATTTCTCTTCAATTTCTTGCAAATTTGTTGATAATACTTAATTATTTGCTAGATTGAGTGCATTTTTTGTGCTAATTTTTGTTTTTTTGGGTTTCTAGTTCTCGCGACTCTCAAACCCTAGCACAATGTCCAATCGTCGAAGCACCAAACGCCCCCTCTCAAAAGCCACAATCAAGGAATCCAGTAATACCCGAGAAGAACGGTACTTCTCCTCATTTGTTTATCCTGAGGTAGACTCTCGTCGTCTCTTCTTTAATGATTTTTTGAATCGCCTGATTTTGACCCCTAAATCCGTTGATCACACCGTATTTTTTCATTTGCAATTTGCCGATGCTATTCATTTTGTTGACAAGCTTGGTGTCACTCAATTTTTGCGTAGAAAATTTGATATTTATTGTCCAACTCTTGTTCATTTGTTCTATGCAAATCTTTCTTTCAACGAAAGAGTTCTCAAATCCTCTGTTAATGGCATTGACATTGATATGAGCCTCAAGGAGATTGGTAAACTTCTTTTCCTATGAGGGTTGTGATTTGTTTGTCTTTGGGAGCCTCTTCATCCCTAAAAACATGTTTAACACAAATCAATAGCTCCAATTTGTACATCCCACTCGCACACATGATTTGGGTCCTCCATGTTTGGACATTGTTCTTTAGGTGATAGATCCATTGTTTGGATCGATCCAAGTGTGCGTAGTTCTGATCAGGTGATCGATCCATTGCATTAGATCGATCCAATTAAATCGTTGATTTTCTTCATAGGATCGATCTATGGGGTTGGATCGATCCCCCGTGACCTTGATCACATCCTTTACCAAATTTTTAACTCTTGGTGATCGATCTGATGCATTGGATCGATCACCTGTGGTAAAATCTGTCAAAAACATTTCATCCCTACCTCCAAAGGATTTATTTCCTTCAACCTTATAAAATCCCTCATCCTCCTTCATCAAACACACAATTCTTTCACTCCTTTCATCCCTTCATTCATATTCAACTCCTTGCTTTAATTCTCATCATCAAATATATTATTTTGAGAGTTAAGAATATTATTGTTGAGTTCTAAAAGAGGTTGTCATCCATAGAGCTTTCATATTTCAAAGACTGCTTGATCAATTGTGGGAGCTTTCATTCTTGTGTTGTAAAACTCAATCTTGTTTGAGTTGTTGCTAAGACTTGTGTGATTCAAGCCTTGTTGGTTGTTGTTAAGACTTTTGTGATTCAAGTCTTGCTGTAAGAAGTTGAGACTTGTGTGACTCAAGCTCTCGAGTTGTATCGGTTTTTAAAGCACTTGTTGAAGCTTAAAGATTAAAAGGACCTTTGAGAGAGTCTCTCGAAGGACTGGACTAGCCACGAGGTGGTGAAACAGTATACATCGCGGTGTTATTTTTTCCATAACTCTTAAAATTTTTCCTACAATTTTTTATTTCGTTTATTCACACACACGAAAAACGCTCATTATAGAAAACAACTCTATTCACTCCCCCCCCCTCTAGAGTTGCGCGTTTTGTCTAACATAAGAAATATGACCTTCCTTTGTAACAATCAATGGAAAAAACCTCCCTTCAAGTGTATACAACACTTAAGTACTCACGAACAAGACTCTCTTTAAGAGTAGATATGAGTGAAATGATGAACGTTCAAGAACATGACAACTTTTTCAAGAATATGGCTCTCATAAGCTATGAAAATGCATGCAATGAATGCAATGAAAGAGTAAAGAGATGATGGAGAATAGTGTGTAAAATGAGAGATTTATGTGCCTTGTTATAAGCTGAAATGGGGGGTTAATTGTAACACAATAGACCAAGAGGATCAGGACAAATATTTTGAAAAAACCAGAGTGATAGTCAATTATCATAAGTAGATAATCAATTATCAAAAGATTCTTTGGCTAAAAATTCAAAATTCTATCCGTTGGAGGGCAATGGTAAATGTGATTACCAATTATCAAGAATTGGTAATCGACTATCAAACTCCTCTGAAG